GGGCCCCGGGGGGCGGGGCCCCGGGGGGGGCGGGGCCCCCGGCCGCGCGGGGGCCCCGGGCGGGGGGCCCCCCCCCCGGGGGGCCCCCCCGGGGGGGGGGGGGGGGGGGCCCCGGGCCGGGGGGGGGAGGGGGGGGGGGGGCCGTGGGGGGGGGGGGGGGGGTGAGCTGCGGGCCGTTTGTTGAGAGTACATATGCATAGATGAGGACATATTCACCAGTTCCAGGCGTATTGTGTGGGCGCTCCGATTTCAAAGCGAGGTTGAGGAGGGCCCATCAACACGCTGACTGTTATGATATGTACCCAGCATTAGGAGGATTCATCAACACTAAAACACTAGCACTGACCGCTGTGATACCAAGAGTTAGGAGGCTACGGGTCACACAAAACAAGCGCTGCGCGGGTCAATAACACAACTTCGGGTGAAGGAGCGGGGGCCCGGCAGAAAATAAAATCTACCCACCCACCTGCAGGGCGGAGGACGCCGCCCCGCCGCCAGCGGAGCCCCCTCCGACCTTCTTTCTCGCGGCTGTCGACCCCCCCGCACCACTGTCGCTGTCGCCTATATCGTCGCTGTCTCCCTCTTCCACCTCGTCGTCGCCCTCCTCCGATGTCTGTCTCCAAAGCCCCCCCGATAAAATAAAAAAAGAAGACGGACAGACAGACGACGGGATAACAAGGTGGCGGGGGCGGCGCACAGCAAGGATGAAATCGAAACAAGCTCGACAAAGCTAGAAATGAACAAACAACCGCAGCAGGACGGTATCAAAACTTACGAACACGCCGCTACAAGGATTCTGATGTATTTGAGGGCACTTTCCGCTGCAAAGGCATTGCTGTTACTAGAACACAAACAATGAGCGTCCTTCGAGCGGGCACGAGCGTATACAGGTGTACCAAGGGCAACGGTGGTGATGGAGAGAAGCATATGCTCGGGACGTCATGGCTCATGACGTCACTAATAGAGTAATGCGTCTAGGGTGATGACGTCACCTGGGGGAGAAGGAACGGCGCCACGGTCGCATGAACGTAGAGGAGCATCTCCGACTCCGTCACGCTGGGGTCAGCCGCCAGGCCCATCTCGATCCTCGTGAGGGCCTCGTTAGCCTCACCCACCGACCTGAAACGAAGACGCTCGAAACCACAAGCATAGTAAGGCCGTGAGCGATCGGTCCAAGAAATGGGTGATAGCTGGATGCACGCCGCAGACAACGAAGCGGTTTCGTTGGAACAAAGACTGCACAACCAGGGACCCTGATTCTTCCCGCTGGTACTGACGTCTTCTCGTTGGTCAGCCGGCGGTTATGTAGCGGTCATGCTAACAATAAAACACTCACACGAATACACGTTTTATTTCGGAAGTTAATATTTTTTCAATTTGTGTTTTCAACCGCACTGAGACTGGCGTGTTTCATTGGTCAATCGGTTAGCGCTGTCGATGATAACATCAAACACACGCACCTGGCGTTCTCGCACTCCTCTAGGAGGGAAAGCACGGGGCCCACCAGGGCGTGCACCGATGACACCAAAGCCGCGTCCTCCGGCGCTAGCACGGTGAAAGTCGGCCGGAAGAGCAAGGTCCTCGCCGCGTTCTCGAACGAGTCGTAGGCCTTCTGCCCCTTAGCCTCCTTAATCTTGGACGAGGCAATTTTTGCTCCTTGGGCCTAGAGGGGGGAGTTCCAAGGTGATAATTGTGGATGTAGGGGGGGGGGGGTGTACTCATAGCCGTGCATGCCGTAGTCGTTAGACCATTGACCTCGCATCCCTACAAAGCCGGGACGGAGCACGCCGGGTGCTCACCGGACCAGGCTCTCACATCACCAAGCGCGAAGCGCCGTGAGGTATTCGGCGAGTCGCATGAAGGGTGTGCTGCATCCTGCTAAGGGTGTTCGGCATCTTGTGCTTACTTCCTTGCTTACGGATGACAGCTGCGTATGACTTAATTTGTTTTGTGGTGCTTTCACTTCCAGAGACAGTAATAAGCGCTGTGTAACTGCCTCGAGGGTGCGTGACCAATTTAACACAACGTGCGATTATCCCCTTTGCGCGGAGTGAGGGTTCTCGACCCCGCACAACATAATCTACTCGACCGCCATTCATGGTTACCGCAAAAAAAAACAGAGGTAATAAAAAAGAAGCGGTAACCTGGTTGCCGAGCTCACGAAGTGATCGGCTTGTTTTACAACATCGCTGCCAAGCGACGAAAACCCAACCCCGATGGCAAACAACAGAGGGGGCGAGGATGTAGGGGGGGGGGCATTGAATCTATCAGCTTCCTGAAGAGAGAAAAGGCCCTTCGAGATGCGACCAGATAAAACGTTCACGAGAAGAAACTAAACCAGTCGTACAGGTTGTTTTCGGTCAAAAGTTCCCCAAGAGATGGGCCCAAAGCAGCATTTCGAGGTTATTCCGCAGACTTACGTGCACTGTACAAGGAAGTTCTATAAGTTCACATGCTGACCTTTATTCATAGGTGTATCTGTTCCAGCTGGTGTCAGTGCGTTCCCAGCGTAAAGGCTTGGAACACATATGTTCTCACAATAGAAACACAGGTTTTCTCAACAACTACTGCAAAGACTTCATCCCATCTCTTCGACTTAATCTCGAACGGGCATGTAATCATTTTTTGACTGCATATTTCTAAAACAAGAACACCGCTCCCTTGTCATCTGCGATGATTTCATCACTGCTGCTACGAAAAAGTGGAGAGAGCGGCAAAAACGACATCGACCTAAAACGACGATGGCGCACCAGGGCAGCAGATACCGCTCCTGCGCCCCTTCTTCTATTAGCAAACCACGAGCTCCTATGCATGGCTTTCTTTTAAAAGTTATCACGCAAACCGTGAACAGACGGAAATTGTTGATGTACATGGACCGTCCCCACTAACCTCCTTAGCGGCGGCCGACTCCCCGAAGAGGTCTTCGATCAGCAGCCCCACCACCTCCGGAATACACGCGTCAAAGGAAGGCTTCACCAGAGACGACGGGACGGCGGGAACCACTGACGCCGCCGCTGAACTCTCCTCGCCGTCTACATGCACCACCGCTGCGTTTGCCGCGTCGGTGGTGGCACTAGAAGAAGCGGGTTCGGTGGGTTCGGCCTTGCGGACGTCTACCGAGGGGGGGCAGGGTGGCATGTAGGAGTCGGCCACGGTCTTGAGGACGGTGTGGAGAGTGAAGGTTCGTAAGTGGAGTTAGTAGCCGGTCACTAGGCAGGTCCTCAGGTCCGTGATGGCCTTCGGAGTGTTGGGATGTAACCTTTGTGATAGGTGTATCCCTGGCAGTGGCCACTGTGTAGTAACATTTGCAGAGGCTCACAGAGTGACTGTAAAGTACACTTGTGTTGTAGACCAGATGATATGGTTGTATTGGCGCTTCGTTGGCCGAAAGGTCAGAAGAGAGAAAGGAGAAGAAGAAGAGACTGAACGAGTGGGGGCGAGCACCACGGGGGCGAGCCATTCACCGTCATCACGGAAAGGAAACACACACGGGCTATTGCAACGTACCGATCACGGTAATAGACGGTCACTCCGACCTATGGCAACGTTTTAAGAATATCCTATAGGACAATGGTCCGATGTACCAAGCTTCTATGGTTCAATGTATAACCCGTAGGTGTGTACAATGATCCGATTGCTGAATCAACATACCGAAGACTATTCCGGTAATACTCCTTAGATGAATACCTACTTACTGTTGTTTACAGCAGTGCAAACTCCAATGACTGACATTGAGTATTCCAACACGGAGTTGTGGGGGGAAAAGGGTAGAGAGAGAGAGAGAGAGAGAGAGAGAGAGAGAAAGGGGGCAGCGATGTGGCGGCGGAGGGTAACAAGATAACAAGAGACAACGGCGGCAGCAATGGCCGCAAATCGTACAAGAGTGGATCAGTGAAGGAAGGACCGTAGAAACGAGAAACACAAGTACAAGGTTTGGACATTGGTGGTGCTTGGGCATGTCTTTCTCTGGCGGCAGCGAATCTTTTCTCGTGCTTCCTTCTCAGGAGGACGCGGTAGCCTCGTCGGTACATTGCTAGCCACGCATCCGTGGCACGAGAGCCGGGATCTATTAACACCGTTAGTTTGGAAACCCACCGAGCGGTGGGACAATGACCCCGAAACTGTTACGTAGGGAAATTCTCTCCCGCCAAACCGATGCATTGTTGCGCCACATAGAAGCCGAAATCAAATCAGTAGGCTAGTCAGCGCTGACTCCATTAGACTTGTCAACAGCTGATTCCATTAGACTAGCCAGCAGACTAGTCAGCCCAGTCAGCAGCTGACTAGTCTAATGGTTTCGATTTCGGCTTCTATAAACGTTGAAGTTAGTCGTGGGGTTCGAGCGACCCGACACTTCCACTCCGAGCTTGCGATAGTCCACATTCATCAACTGCCAGGGCGAAATAAAACACTCCTTAGTAGAATGGTGTGTCAGAACGTGACGGAAAGACCATCATGAACACGGCAAGGGGCATCCTCATCAACACCTGACTTCCGAAGTTTCTCTGGGAAGAAATATGCGAAACGTCGGCTTCCTGAACAATCGCTCTCCTCATCGTGCACTTGGCGGAAGTTCTCCGAGCTCTTTCGGAAAGAACAAGATCTTTCAGGCTTGAGGGCTATTGGAGGTAGGGCCTTCGTCCACAAGAAGAGACACGGCAACAAGCTAGACCAGAGACCTTGGGAAGGCATCATGCTGGGGTACAGCAAGCACAGCAACTTCTATCGAGTCTACTGTATGTCGTATGTTGGGGGTGCTCTTGGCAGAGACGAGCACGCCTTGTCCGCTGTTTGTCCACTACGTAAGCGTATGTATTTCACCACAAAAAAAAATACACTCTGATTTTCGCTTGCCGCTTGTTTTCGGCATAAATTTGGCTGGACCACAACGGCACCCCACCTGCCCAACACCAGCGATCCTATCATGTAATGGCACAGGCCATCAGCAGTCCCGTTTTTTCATCCTGTGAACATCTACTTTTGAGTTTCAAATTAAGCGTGAAGCGCGAAAGGCCCAAAAAAGTCCTCCCTCCCAATCCATGAATCGAGTTTTAAATAACTCTTGTGGATGGTCCAGCTGAGGGTTCGGATCGTGTACTATACTACATACAGTCAGTCGCCCAATCAACCTGACACGGAGCAGCCTTTCCGCCATGACCGTTGACCTCAAGTCAAGGATGCAGCGACAAACTGCTGGGGGTATGACCTTAAACCTGAAACAGAGGGAAGAATCGAACACTTTGAAGAAGATTCCAGGACTGGCAATATTCGAACATGTGTCCGCAAAATCGCAAAACGATGAACGGGGTCGCATACCGCGGGGTGGCTCAGCATACCTTTTCGTGAACTATTTATCCACGCCCCCCCATTCAGACCAAACGCGAGAAAGCAAGAACTCGAGTGTTACAGGACGAACCCGCGGCCTCAAGAAATTGAGCACAATGTGTGAGCTCGGTTAAGCATCCGTACAAAAAAATCTATAAGCGACCGTCCATAGCATGGCCCCAGGAAATAAGAACCCCACCCTCGGTCGAACCTAGAGGTTCTCAAGTGCGGGCGCGTTCTGTATGGAATCTAAGTTCCTCCGCATATTTGTTGGCGCTTTTTTTCGTCAGTACGGGTCGCCCGGCGAACCAAGAGTGTTCCGGAAGGGATGGCCCAGGAGAAGCTCAGCTGCTGTAGGGCAGAGTAGAAGAAACGACACAAACAGAATGCGACAGGCGCGATCTCTGGATGATTCGCGTAGCTCGGAAACTACGCCGGGTCATCGTAGGAAGTATTCCGTAGATTCGCCCGACCCCCCCCCCCCTATCGCCCTGGGCATCGCCCGCCAGAGCAGCACCCAAGATCAGCCCTAACAAGCCAGCGGTCCACGCCAGATAGCATGTAACCGTAGTGAGCTGTCGTTCTACTCACACTGCAGCGGATGGTGCAAGTTCTACGACTCATTGCTCTGTGAGCGAATAACCAGAGTTGCCCCATAGGAGAGCTGGTACACGAACAGTTTCAGCCCACCGAAGCAGCCCAAATCAGTGAGGCCTGTACTGGTTTCGACTGTTAGGGTGCTTGCTGCGTAGCTGAGGGTATCCTCTTTCTCTAGCAACGCGTTTCAATAGGGATCACCTCGTATCGGCTACGAAATCGACGATTCGGTCAGCAGAAAAAAACGGCGAAATAGAACGTCGTAATCGGGGTACAGTACGTGAAATGACCCGCGGTTTTCTCGGCTCCGTTGGCAAAGTTGTGCATGGTAAATAAAGAAGCGCCAGGAGAAGGACTTCCGCTTTGCTTCGTCTGTGGACGTCCCGGGAGTCGCGACGGGTGCTCAAGCAAGCAGAAGCACGTTGGACACGGAAAATATTGGCGGGAGCTGGGCGAGTGTAAATCCCAGGTAGGCACATGTGTGTCTGACGGCCTCTTTCGAAACCACCACGCGCGGGAGTACATGTTGTCTTCCTAGTTTCCGCGCCCTTCGCGTGGAGACAAAAATGGCACACCCCCGTTATTGTTCTTTGTAGCGTGAACCATGGGTTACACAACAGAGCGCATCCGGCAGGTACCTGCAGTAGCTTTTAGCACTGATTCTGAGGAAACGTAGAGGGAAAAACAAAGAAGAAAACAGAAATACCCCACCGGTTTGGCAGTTACCCCCGCATGGAATCCAGCTTCAGATAGTTGCGTCAAATATGGACGGCGCCTCAATTTGTTTGGCCTGTCTCCCACAGATTGGGCGCCGATACCCACCTGGACGCCACCATGGATGCTTTTGCCGAGGGGTATGCATACGCCGAGGACAAGCGCCGTCCGTCCGGACTGGGTGGTGACTAGCCCATCTCACAAGCACGCATCTTACATTTTGAAGCAGGCGTTGCGGGCCGGGCGCATGGGAGTGGAATTCAAGTTGAGGCTGACTGTTCTCCAACCTGTCATAAGGAGAGGGCGGTTGCTAAAGTATATAACCCTCCTGACAGGATTGTGATGTTCTCGCGTGCTACCTACCGCGGGAGGAAGTGTAGCTCTACGGAGGCGTGGTTTGTACGGGAGACAAGAGGGGGGAAGAAAGAACACACCAGACCTCCTATTTGCTTTTCCTTGCTTGGCTAAGGTCTTTGACACGTACTTGGGATTGGAGGTTGCATCGCTTTTGCGTTTATTGCGTTTGCCTACCAGTGCATCTACGAAACACATTACCTTGCGTTTGTTGCGTTTGCCTACCAGTTTATCTACGAAACACATTTACAGGCGCAGTAGCGGATTTGAAATGAGCCGCGGAACGCGAAGCGCGACATGTTTTCCTAAAAGCTCTAAATATCGGCCTCTTTCATCCATCGCGCAGTTGAGGGACCGTTCCGCAACCCCCCCCGGGGAACAGCACGTCAATAAATCATCACCGTTACTAGCCGAGAACGAGGTCTATTGAGCACCGATTTACGATCTGCTGGGTTGTGACGAAGCAAATTAGGGCACTCTTCGTGACACCGGTTTCGTCGCGCTCCGACAGCAGATGGCTATGCTTGACAGGAATTCGTCCCCAAAATCATCGGATACTTTTGCCCTCGTCCCCGGGAGTTGGGCGAGAGGTAAAGGGACACACACACGCAACAGTTGCTCGGTTCAGACCAGGAGAAACAGAGGAAGCACTCAGCTACATAACACGCAACACAGCTAGGAGGGGCAACGCAGCACTGGCGAGGGAAGGGAGCCATATACTAATACACACAGCTCGTGGCGGATGTCATCGTCATTTCTGTTGCTTCGGTGTGTGGGGAGGGACCATCGGTACTGCTGTTGGTGCCAGGCGCCAGGGTGTTATTCTCGCATGCATGCACTGCCGAATAAGCAAGAAATATAGATGGGAGTCGTTGCCATTACAGCAGCAGCAGCAGCAACAGCAGCACTACAAGTGCATTCGTATAAGCTACCACGCTGCATTTGTATCTGTGTCAGTGCTGTTAGGTGCCGATCGTTTGGCGGCACTGCTGTTGTTGTAGCAGATAGGCGATCATTTGTTGTTCGTGATCCTCCGCCATTAATGTGCAATATTTCAACGAACTTCCGGCGGGAGCGGGTACAAAGTCGTGGAAGATCCACTCCAAATTAATTCCGCAAGTAGATATTGAATTGCACGTTCTGGGTTGTTGCGCTGCTTCCACAAGCAGCGTGTCTGAGTCGTCGCGCGCGGCCCATTACCCCCCTGTCTAGTATTCAACGAGTCCTTCCTCCAACAGCCGGGGTATCCAATGGACGGTGTTGTCACGGCACATGTATTTTTCGTGTTTTGTTCCTGGGGGTTGTGAGGTTACAACTGTTCACACCAGTAGTTTAGTTGTTTGCCAGACAACTATTCTTCGAGAACCGTACGCAACTGGTCGCCTGCAGACGACTAATCTTCTACTCGTCCGGGATCGTTCGTAACTAGTCGGCTGCAGACGACTGACCTTCTAGACTCGTGCGTAACTAGTCATTTACGAACAACTAGCCGGTAGTTGTCTGGCAAACAACTAACTTAGTTAGTTATTAGGTATAGTTCTACAGGGTGTGCAACTGTTCCGGCCACACGAAAAACATAAACCAACCCAACCCAACCGCCTTCCCCTCACCGTAACCCGACCTTGGCTCCCGCCTATCCTCCTCGTCAGGCGGTTCCGTCTCTCTGTCAGCTTCGTCGGGTGTTTCCTCGTCGTCCCCCCTGCTGCCCCCGCGGGTGTCCCCATCTCTCTTGCCAGCTTCCTCAACAGGATATAACTCCCTCTCGGATGCTTGACCCTCGCCCCCCGTCTCCTGTGCGAGTTTCTTCCTCGCCATCCGGTGTCGTCTCTCGGCCGCCACCTCCGGGTGTTTTTTTCCTCATCTCCCCCATCTCCCCGGGAGGGCTCTTCCCTGCCAGCTTCGTCAAGAGAGTCAACGTCCGCCTGGATGTGGTCTTCTCTCCCTCCTCATCTTGTTGAGGTCGACCGCCAGTGCTGCTCGGTCCATGAACCACGCGATGTTTCAGACACGGATGGGATGTCGTCGATGAAACAGTGTCGAAAATGCATACGTATTTCATCGCGTATTGTGACCATGGGAGGGTGCTGTAAGGTGGATATGCACATCGATAGTCTGTTCACTCCGCCGAGTAACATTGATTTACATAGAAAAACCCACCTGGTGGTGTTGGTGAGGTCAATCGATGCGAGCCCCTCCGTAAGGGTGGGGGAGGGGATTCACTGCCATCTTTTAGCAACAAACAACTCGTATCACACGCGTCAATACTACGTACGCACCGGGATTCTGCACAACACCAACATAAACAACAATGTTTATGCCTAGGTTAGGATATTGCGCAGGTCGGCGCAAACGGTGGAGCATGTTATTCTCTGCTGAAAAACCAACTGGGAAGGGGACCGATGGGCGTCACAGTCGGCGACAGGATAGACTTCAAGGAGTAGCTGCACACCCGCATATTTTCATATTTTCGTCTGCTGGATGCACAACGCAATACAACTACCGTGTTACATTTTTCTTCCTTCGTCAACTGCCGTACAAGACATGAGCAAGCAAGGGCAGGACCTACCCAAATATTGCTGTGAGTGGGCGGTGAGCATGCAAACCTCCGTGCACCCAAGGGTGCAACGCGGAGACATGTACACATGTACTGCTGTAGATCGGTCACGGCCGACAGCCCCAGTACCAGTATACCTAGTGTCTCAAAGCTCAGCATTTCGTGCGAGGCGCGCCGCGTACGGGGGTTCGCCGTTGAAAACAACTCACGACAACACGGGCCAACCCTTCCACACCAGATCCACTTCGTTGTTAGGTGAGAAAAACCGTTCCATCCGCAGGCCGAGGGCACGTAACAACTCTTGTGGTCGCGCACCACCACATCGTCAGATAGGCTAGATGTGTACCGTTGGTTGCACAAGATATCACACCCCCTCTGGACCAAACTTCAAAGCCCTCTGGGCAGAACTCCATAGCAACAAAAAATGCGTGATAGCGTCGAAAAAGTCGGCGTTAGAAACGTTTCATCGAGAGCTTTCCGAAGCCGTATCATTTGTTTTATTCTCCAGCCTTTTCGTCGTGGAGCACTCGAGCTTTGAACATCGATGCAGGGGGTGTGGTATCTTGTGTCGGTACACACGTGACAAAGCATCATGTTGGCGCCGCAATCGCTCCGAACTGCTGTGCCTACCTTACATCCGCTACAGGAGCATCAGCTCCGGTAGCCAAGCGTAGACTTCCATCGCGAAGGCTCCCCCTTGCAGAGAGGGGCAGAGGCGACCAAGGTGATCTCAGAGGCGGAGTGTTTTCGTTCAGTGCGCCGAGCAACGGCGCAACGGCGGTGAAAGTTCAACTTTGGAGGCCACACTTGAGATCGCGAGGTACTGCTGTGTATAGTGAATGAAGCCTTGGACACGCCCCCAAACCACTGCCAGTGGGTACTCACACACCTGCTCCACCGTGAGCTGACATCCTTTGTTGGGATTACGTCCGGCCTAGCTGAGCTTTCCGGCTGTCCGTGATCGTGTTACCAGGTTACTGGTCTTGCTGGTTGGTACTGGGGCTGTCGGCGATCTACATGTCCCCCTGTTTTCAAGGAGGCGTACATCTATCTGTAGTCTATGCATGTCACATAGCACTGATTCGGTTGATTCAGTCAGCGGTAGCATCTGGTTAGAGTTCAGCAAGGAGCATTCACCGCGCTCTAGTCCACCGTAAAGAGAGCATCCATACGACGAGAACGGTGCCGTAATAAAAGGGAACGGCAGGTTCCAGCTGTTCCCCGCTACCGCGCTTGTGCAAAGTGCAAACTGCAAAGAAAAGGTGGGTCTATTCTGTTGTTCCTCTATCCTCTGTTGTCTGTTGTAGACTGCGTTGTTGATCCCGCCGCAATGGTGTTGCATCGTTCATCGTTGGCACATCACCGAGATTGTTCGCGCTCGAAGACGTTGTTGTGGTTCTTTGATGCGATCATCCTCTTGTGATGGTGGTGTGTGATTCACCACTTCAGTCGCGAGAGACGACCAACAGAAATCGATGGTACATGAGTTCTTTGAACAAATGTTTGTCTTTGCGAACGTCTCGCAAACTTCCGCATACCCAGGCCCCCTTCTACAAGATGGCGCAGACGGACCGCAAGGCGCTGGTTGCCCTATACAACGCGACCGGTGGGGTTAAGTGGAAGAATAATCAAAACTGGAACACTAGTGCCGCCCTCTCGCAATGGTACAGAGTCGAAGTCAACTCCCAGGGCCGCGTGGTGAAGCTATCTCTGTGGAACAACAACCTCCAAGGTATTATTCTTCGATTTCTTTCTTGCAATCTCTTTGACCTTCCCCAAGAACTCTTTGACCGACAGTGGCTGTTTCATGAAGTTGCAAGTCTTACAACACGCCATAACGTTGTCTCTTTCGTACGTTCCCGTGTTCTGCACACGGTCTACGCCTGAGTACCCCTCGTGTGTATGTGAATTCCCCGTAGTACCAGCAGGCTGTAGACTATTCGTCCAAGCTAATCGACACTGCAATGTTTCGCCTCCTACAATTTGAGCTTGCTCCTTGAACACGCGCCACCTGTACAGCACATCACTTTTCCTGGCTTCCAAGGGCCTCTGGTACGCTGGGGACCTTCGGTATCTCTTCTTTTGCAGGGCTCTGATGCGGCGCACGTTGTACTCTGGAGTATATTCTCCACGATAAACCTGTTCCGCACTGGCCCCACAGGCTTGGTGGTTGGTTTCCGTGCTGACATCCATCCGTTTTTGTTTGTCCCAGCCATGCCTGGAAAAATGTGGCAAGTGCCGTGTGGTGTCAAAAATACGGATGTATTCTAGACGTCGGCAGGGTCGGCGGGGAATAAACAAAAATGACCCGGCCGGCTTCTAGTGCATGTACTAGCCTCCGCGACGCGCAGCTGGTCGCCTGCAAGGTTGAGGATCTGCAGTGCTGCAAGATTTTCCAGCTCCAGCGGGGATGGGGCCTGAAGTCCAAAGTTCGACAATGTCGTTTCCAAAAGCAATCACCCGTTTCCATCGAAACGGGCATGACGCCCGCCCAGGCGTCCATACGGGTATCTGTTGAAGTCGAAAGGGATTCATGATAAACTTCAAGGCTTCAAAACTTGAGAAGGGTCGTACCAGATATTTCTGTGCCTCACCGCTGAGCTGGTTACTCGAAAGGGAGAGCTCCTTCAGTGCCGCAAGGTTCCCCAGCTCCGGCGGAATGGGGCCTGCAAGCAGATGGGCACATTCGAATTTTGAGCGGGGATTAAAAGTTAAATACCCGGGTTCTAGAAACACCTACCCACCAACGCACGCACGGACGCCAACGCGTTGGCGTCCGTGGGTGCGTAGGCGAGTACGAAATTTCCCAATTGCGGAACTCGTGGGACTCCTAGGTGTTTCTAGAAGCCGGGGTATTTAGCTTTGATTCTTCCCGCTACATTATGGGTACTGTGTTTTCGTTCTGTCTCTTCCGATTGCAGGTCCCATCCCCGTGGAGGTTGGACGGCTCGCCGTACTGGAGTACCTCGACCTTCGGGCGAACGAACTAACTGGTAAGTAATTTAGTTCAAGTTTCCAAGATGATCCCGCCGATGCGTAGCAAAAGATGTCCCGCGAGTTCCGCAATCGTGAAATTTCGTACTCGCCTACGCACCCACGGACGCCAACGCGTAGCAAAAGATGTCCCGCGAGTTCCGCAATTGTGAAATTTTGTACTCGCCTAGTACGCGTGACCGATGTTCTAGACAGCGGGAGGTTAATGCGGATCATTCTTGTAAGTCGAAAAAATATTTCACGGTCGATCTCCGGGACTCACCATCTAACTCGTTGTCGGACAGGTTGAGCACCATGAGCGTAGTGAGAGCGCCGAGCTGCGCAGGGATCGCACCTGCAGACGAGTATCACATGTTTGCTGGGGGAAATTAAAAAATTTCCACCTCTCAATTTTCAAGACAACGGATCTCCATAGATCTTGTCTCGCCAACTAGTTGGCGTCCACGAAACTTTTGTACGGAAAGCGCGGGGATTTTTCTTTTGTCTCCTCCGAATTTGCAAATATCATGCAAGTATCATGTTGCTCTCCATAACTCACCGCTTAGCTCGTTGTTTCCAAGGCTGAGGTCGTGTAGCGCTGCGAGGTTCCCGAGCTCCCGCGGGATGGGGCCTGCGAGCAGGAGGGCGATACAAATCAAGCGCGACAAAAAAACAAGAAATATTATCCCGCCTCTCGATTTTCAAGAGGACGCCAACTAGTGGGCGGGACAAGATCTACGGAGATCGACAAAAGCCAGCGGGCAATTGTAATATATTCCCCCGTGTTCGGACAACTCTTCTGCGTGCAGGGGCCATCCCACCGGAGGTGGGAAAGCTCACAGCGCTGCGATGGCTCAATCTTCGGAGTAATCAGCTATCCGGTGAGTTGTTTGTTCAAGTGTAGTATGAATCCCGTGTATGCAGTGCGCGGGACAAGATCTACGGAGATCGCGTGTCTATAATCAACCTATGTTATTTCGGATATCAATAAAATGCTTTGATGCCCGATCTACAGGACCCATCCCACCACAGCTAGGAGATCTAAGCACCTTGGAGATCCTGGACCTCAGCTGGAACAAGTTAGACGGTGAGTCCTTCAGATCGGGCTTGAAATTTGTTTCGACTTTTGAACAAAATATTGATGTATACATGAAATTCCGTCGATGCGTTGGCAGGACCGTTTTTCTAGACACCGGGTGATTAATTTTTGTGTTCTCCCGCCAACGTGTTATTTTCCTTTCGTCTGGCAGGCAACATTCCGACAGAGCTAGGAGATCTCCGACAGCTGCAGCTGCTGTTACTCAACGAGAACCACCTCACAGGTACCTTTTTTACATTGATGGTCGGCTTAATTTTTTTCTAGCATTGGTCCATGGATGAATTTCGCCAATGCGATGGCGGGATTCATCCTAAAATTCGATCACAAAATTTTAGATACTCACCGCTCAACTGGTTGCACCCGAGGTAAAGCTTTTGCACTGCTGCCAGGCTCCCCAGCTCCGTTGGGATGGCACCTGCAGCGAAAAGACGAGACTTATTTATTCAGCGGGGGTAAGCACGAAAAATGTCCCGCCTTCTAGAGAAATGTTCAGCCGATCGCTTCCTTAACACCTACTCACCCACGAACTGACGTCTCTCTACCTTTCGAATAACCAGCTGACCGGTGAGAAGTCGTGCGGGATGAATCCCGTGTATGCGTTGGCGGGACAAGATCTACGGAGATCGGTGATATTGAAATAAGAGAGCCGGGTGATTTATTTCTATATCCCCCGCTAATGTGTTACTCTTCTCCAGGTGCGATCCCGGCGCAGCTCGGCGCTCTCAATAAGCTCACGCGGCTCGACCTGTCCATCAACCAGCTCAGCGGTGAGAGACTGATGACATTTGAATACTTTTTTTTCTCGAACATATTTTGTGCCCCGCCACCGCGTGAATGGACGCTAACGCGTTGGCGTCCATTAAGTGTGAGTAACTGCTTTTCTAGAAGCCGGGAAATTTTATGTTTCCCCCCTCTCAATTTCCGCTGAATTCCTGCTTGCACTTCGCTCCAGGGCCCATTCCCCCGGAGCTGGGAGAGCTCGAGGCACTGAAGTCTCTCTATCTTTCGAATAACCAGCTGGCCGGTGAGAAGTCGTGCAGGATGAATCCCGTGTATGCGTTGGCAGGATCGTTTTTCTAGACGCCGGGGGGATTAATTTCGTTTTTCTCTCGCCCACTTCTTATTTTCCCTTCGTCTGGCAGGCAACATCCCGCCAGAGCTAGGAGATCTCCGACAGCTGCAGTGGCTGCGGCTCAGCGAGAACCACCTCACAGGCACCTATTTTATTGTGATGGTCGGTTTAGTTTTTTCTAGCATTGATCCATAGGCTTCCTGCAATTGGGCCGCCAAATTCCCAAAAGTGGCTGTGGGGGGGGGGGGGGGTCAGGCCGATTCCCAGTCTATTTACAAGACACATTTGCCCCCAGGTTCTCGTTGTGGTGGGCTCATCATCCTAGCACCGCCCTCGGATGCACAGGCCTCACAACGTTGTTACAGCGCTGGACACGGGTTACACACACACCCTTACGCACCGCAGGCCACTTTCTGCGCCAAGGGGGTGCATACAACAACAGCCACGAGATGATTGATACACCTGGCTTGAATAGCACCCACAACGTCACACCAGCGCAAATCTCACCGCATTCCGCCCTTTCAAACAAAAAACAAAAAACACAAGCCACAACAAGCCACAGCGACAGCAACCACAGCACCAAGGCAGCAATCCACACCCACTCTCTCCGGTATTCTCCGGTATCGCCTTCACATCCGACTCGATTGCTGCGACCGACACCCCGATGGGGAACCACAAGTGCGTCTGTGATACTGAATTTTGCCGAGTAGACGGCGGACACGCAACCATACGGATGCCGATTGACCCTGAGAAGAGAGCAAGCTGGTGCCACGCCCTTTTCGGCCGGAGCGACCTCCCGAGGCCAGTACGCGACGCAAGGATTTCCGCTGCTCACTTCCCACCTGGGAGCCTGGAAGCCGAGAACACTATCAACTCGGTGGATGGTAGTACGTTGGGTGTAAGGGTTAAAGATGGAGCTCTGCCAGACCAGTCAAGCGACGAAATGTTCAATGCTTCGAGGGGTGCCCTTGCAAGGAGTCGGAAGTCCGATGCTCTGGTGACAAGATACAGGGCAGCACTGCTGGATGACAACGAGGAACAGCGACGACTCAATGGCGAGGCGAGGAAGCTTAGGCTACGCATCTCGGTGCTGAAGGCGGAGCTTAAGGAAGCGAAGCAGAACGAGAGGAGTGCAAAGGACGCGGCAGGAACAGCCCCTGGTGTGATTGGGATCGACCACAACTTACTGCGTTCTGTACAGCCTGTGGGAGTTCGCTCCCTCGTCGGTCTCAGGGACCATGAGTCTCTCGAGGTAAGTGTTCTGAGGCTTGTGCGTGTAATCAGAGTACCCAAGACCGTCCGTAACGTAGGATATGTGCTAGCACTTGCTTGGTCAATACATGTTTGTAGGTCCTAGCACTTGCTTGCTTGGTCGGCCGGCTGCACGACTCTCCGTCTCTCTCTGGCTCTCGCTGTGTGTGTGTGTCTCTCTCTCTCTCTCTCTTTCTCTTTCTCTCTCTCTGTCAATCGCTCTGTCGCTCTCTGCCCATGTGTCCCTCCCTCTCTCTCCCTCTCTTTCCCTCTGTCTCTCGCTCTGTCTCTCTCTAAACCGGCCAGTTCCGCAAGCGACGAGCACGCCACATTACTGCATGCCGCCGACACAGCAGCAGTTAGTTGTAAAATAAGCATATGCTCCAATGACCGCTGCTGAAGAATGCATACATTGTCATGCATACAGCAGCGCGTACATCGTTGTTCTTGACATAAAAGGCCATAGTGACATATTTCTCGTCGAGCATGAGATAGCGCGGCAGTGCGGTATGTAAGTTCCTTCCATTGTATTGATTTCGCTACCAATCTAGCAGAGTTCGGATCGACCCTTGTTGTTTTTCGCCTCTATAGGGTGACTGCTGCTGTTGCTGCTCTTCTGTTGGGAAAATGGAGGGTTCGTGTTTCGTTTAACGGCAACGAAAGGTCACGAAGACTCCGCGCCAGTCGGATGCAGTCATAATATTTCATGTGATATCTACTGTCACCCGAGTCATGCAAATAGTTTTCATGTGCTGATACCCGCAATGCTACCTTTGTCGCATCTTCGTCATCACCCCACGTGCCACCGCCTGCAGAAGTTGTACGAGTTCCTGGATGCTGAGGGTCAGGCGGAGAATATGGTGTTCTATGACCAGCGAGAGGGAGGCGGGATAACAGCAGACGGGACAAGGGTTGAGCAGAGGCGAAAGATATTTCGGGGAGTGAACGGACTTTTTTTCACTTTGATGATCCTGCGCACCGCAACGCCGATTGTGGTGGCATCGGCCCTGTTTGGTGTCCACTACCGGGGGGAGGGCGTTCACGACGTGGTTAAACTTCCTTTGGCGTAGTCTTCGGCCTTTGGTTCGGCTTCCTACTTTAGCAGAGGTGGACGAGTTCGTCCCGCAGAACTTTGTCGATCATGGGTATGCAAAGTGTGTTCTAGTTCTGGACGCCACTGAGATAGAAATTTGCAGGTCTTGGCAAACTGACTGTAACTGGATCACATATTCCACGTACAAGGGCAGACAGACGGCGAAATTACTTGTCGCGGTCACCCCTGGGGGTGCGATTTGTTACATTGGGCCCGCGTATCCCGGTAGGATGTCCGATGTTGAGGTTGTAAAGGCGTCTGGTCTTGTCGACGCCATGAGGGACAATGGTCTTGATCACGAAGGCCTCATGGTCATGGCGGACAAGGGGTTCAATTCTTTGTCGCCGTTGTTGATCGAGGAAGGTTTCCTGTACGTGGCGCCCCCTTACAAGCGGCAGAAGGAGAAGCAGTTCACTGAAGCCGACATGGAATCCAACTGGAAGGTAGCGAATTTGCGCATTCATGTACAGCGGGCAATCGGGGCCATGAAGAAGTGGAGCATCGTCGACAAGAGATTCAACCATAAGCAACTCGATCACTTGGAGATGTGCTTCCATGTGGTTGCAGCTCTAGTAAACATGATTCAGCAGCCGTTCAAGAGCGATAAGTAAATTTGTTAGTCTTCTCTTATTTCTTTCTTCATCTCCTGTTGGAGTTTAGAGTTGTTTCTTTTTTGCTGAGAAACGAGTTCTTTTTTCGGGCGTAGTGTTGGGTTGGTGAACGGCATACCGGCCCATGACTTGCATCGGTTGTTTCCAGGCCTCGGACGGAACACTCTTTGTTTGGTAACCCTCGTGAACGTTGGACATCCTTATGTTGGAGTTAGACTATCGCGTCTGGAATTTCCTTGGGGACGGAACAAGATGAATCTCTTGCAGCGTCAGTGCTGTCCTCGTGGGACGTAAGGTAACGCGGCGAACAGCGAGCGTGCGAATGTTAACACGGGAAACGGGAAGACGCCTAGGATGACGACCTCATCGAACTGTATATTGCCTAGGGCTTGGCACAACCGAACCCCGTGTTTCGGTGCCATGTTAGAGGTTTCGTGCATCTTGCTGGCTCCCCGTGCGACACAGTGCGAAGAATAGGGTATTGGGGTTGAAGAGTGCAACCTGTCGTCGATTTTTGTAACGTTGTATTTTAGGCATCGGGGTATTCGCATCACAGCGTAGAATCGGTGTCAAAGGGTTTCAAGACGAGAGTAACACATACTTCGTAGCGGAAAACACCATGTTGTATCCCCAGGCAGGCCCAGGTGCAAAATTAGCCTAAATCCATAAAAAAAAAAAAGGTTCCCCCCCCCCCCCCCCTCCGCCCCCCTCCCTCCTCTTGTACCGCATTCCTCCACCAAGTTCCCCTCCGGGCAAGAGAGAAACACGCCCCAGCTTGGGTCGTGACAACTACAGCAACCCACGACCCCCGCCCGCCACATACACAGAATCACTTCACGAATGCACACGCAAGCACTTTTCAACGTGGCTACCCACAGTGTGCAGAATTGTTTTCTTCGCGTACTCTTGACGGTAGATAATCCAGGCACACCTCTTGGTGGTCCGATCGCCTCTCGTGATTTACGAACGCCATTAATTTGTCCCTCTTGAGTTTGCTGATGTCCTCGCCAGCATCGAAGTGCACATTGCGTGCGGCCCACATTCCCCCGGTAGGATGCGGGTTGAATTGGTTCATTCGATCTATGGGTGGAACCCCACTCGCGTGGACTTGTTTGTCGTCGTCCCATCCTACATTCCCTTTCGGGTCCCGAACACTCCGGACGACCGTGGTTCCTACCGACATACTCATGCCGTATAGCTCGCACTGCTGTTTGGCCGATCGAGAACCCTTGCCATGCTGCATTATCCAGCGGCATGCCATTCCCGTACACGTGGTAGGATTGAACGTGACTAGCTGTTCTTCAGACATCTGGAGCAGTCTACCTAAAAACAGCGCCATGGCGGCGTGGGAGCACCCCCCCTTAATGCCTGCAGGACATTCGCAGAGAGCCGCGATGACCTCCAGGGCTACCAGGGTTTGCGCCGACCGCGGGTCATTGCCCACGACCTCCTCCTCTTCCTCCCCCTCCTTCTCTTCTTGCTCCGTCGGGGGTGCGCTCTCATCCACTTCTTCCACTCGTAGTTTGATGCGGACGCGGTACTCCTTGTCGGCCGAGAAGGAGGCGCCCGCGCTGTGTGTTATCAGTTGGAGATGATTTCATCGGGATGGGAAGGTTGTTAGGCGCAGTCTTTCATTTTCGAGTTTTTAATCTCCACTACAACGTTGCTGACGGAGCAGGCAACGATCGAAAACAAAGTCAACGAAATGCAGCGTACCGCACCGTCATGACGTGCGGGGAAACAAGGCAAGAACACGTGGGGGACCGGGTCTGTCCCTCGAGTATCGTAGAGGGTAACTTGTTTTGTGTACGATGCTGGCATCATCGTCATTCCGACGGGAACATCTACACGGTTGTAAACATGGTCAAGGCAGAAAAGCACGAATGCAACGGAAAGTACGTGTGCGCATGATGCACACAGGCCCGGGTGGCAATATGCTGGGCTGTCACCGTCGAATCGTACGTCGGGACTAGATCAAGCATACTCCATCTAAGTAATCCGAACATCAAAACATAACGTTAGAACACACACCGGAAACAATATGACGGCAACGCGAAGCAGTATATGCCTATCCTCCTTCCAGGCGGGGTGCATTTCGTGCGCCTCACCTAGTCCCAATCCACATAATGCCCCCCGCTGCCGGAGCGGCCCAAAACCTGCTGAGGTTCCCCATGTCCAACACCCGCTGCAGCGATCTATACCAGAGCCGCGAGCCCTCGCCGGCGAGTTTGTTCACTTCTCCCATGAACCGTAAGATGACGGCTTTCGATATCTCGGGGAGATACCGCCGCATAGCGGACCACTCCTTTATGCGCAGCCCTGTCGCAGGAAGATCCGGCATTAGCCTGGCCTCCTTTTCCTCAAAAGAGCTGAGGTCCGGAACAGGATGGCGAAACGCCAAGTTGGTGTCCAACACACCGCAGCTCCTAATCAGCCTGACGACATCCCCAGCCATCTGAGCAAGGAGTGCTTTGTTGAACCCACTGGTCCCGGCGTTGTTGAGACACCTAAAAACCTGACGGCAGAAATGCACACGACAAGAGGAGAATCCCAAGCGTGTGGGGCGCATATATGTTCATGCTTAGCTGATGACGCACACCGAAACCCACTCGCTTATCTTAGGCGAAGAACAATGTATATCTTCGGTTACAATTTGCAATCTCCACGTGCAGTTGCCGCGTGCATCTCGTACCCCACCGCTGCCTCGAACAGAACGCGAAGAAACCAAAACTTGTAGGTTCGTTGTTACCCTACGCACAATAATCCCGTGTTCGAACGACTGCTGTAACGAAGTGGTTGACGGACATCAATATCTGACTTGTGGTCAACGTGACCATTACCGTAAACATACTGCGAGGGGGGCTGAATTGCACATATCCGGCGCCAATGGTGTACTTAATCTGCTCTGAGCGTGGCCCACCGTACGCGAACAATTTAACTACAGTCCAAAATCGCACAACTTGTGATAACTTGTGGGGTACCATTTTGGGGCTATTTCAAATACATTACTTCTTAAACCAATCGGGATATCCGCCCCGAACCTTACTAACAGCAGCCGCAGTGCGCTGTGTGCAAAGCGGAACGTGGTGTGTGGTCTCTTTTGTAAGCGTGTGTGCGTACATCGCTCAACCTGCTGTTGGATGGTCGACAGGCGCACCCGGAAGCCAGTAACGGCAGTCTGAAATATGACGAAGCGCCAAGTTTACAACACAGGATGCACTCTTTACCCAAAATATATTTCGAAGTAGTAATAGTCTACGGACCAAATATTCTGTCACAGCCATAACTGTAAAGTACCCTCCCCGACTAGTACCCTACTGACAGTAGCTCTCTAGAAAAAATGTCGCTAAAAACCCATATTTTACTCACGCTTAGAAACTCGCGAAGCTTAGGCACGGTCCACTTGGTGTAATCTTCAGTCTCCCCCGGGAGTCTGCTGAAGCCGTGCTCGCGGTAGTTGTTTGTGTCTTGAGGACCTCGAGCGCGAGACGCCCTGCTGCTAGCATTCGGGGGGCGGGTGCTAGCCGTCTCGGGTGTTGCCCTTTTCTTCTGCCTGCCAGCATCCTCGCCTACCGCCTGCCCCTTCGCTTGTGCTGTACCCAGCGGTGGGTCCCATTCGCGCCCGGTCAGCGGACAGACATCTCCCCGGGCCACACGGGACGCCAGCGGGGATAGCTCCAACGTCCCTGTACGTGCAGGATGCGAGCATGACAGTGAAGGGAGTTCAGGCGATAGTATATGCAACGCCGTCACTAAATGTATCTGCTTCAGTACGGCAGGCTTACACAGTATGCAGTACAGCGGGAGCCGTGTAATACGGGACGAGCAAAGCCAGACCGAGGTCATTGGTGGGTTTACCTGCAAATCTACTTTGTAGAAAGCATGTTTGAAGGTACATCAGACCTCCTTGTGCACGCAGACTCCAGTGTAAAGGACACATTTTACTAGTGTGTAAGGTCTCACTGCTGGCGCCCGACTACAAGTAGGGTGATGTCGGGAAACATCAACCAAAAGCTGGTCTCAGGTACCTAACCCATTTTTACACACACAAAAACGCGGAACACTGACCTGTATGGCGGGTGATTTCCTCCCTGGTCGGCGCGCCGGACAAATGTTGGAGTTCGCCGCTCAGCGGGTTCCACACCACGGGCTGTGTAAACATGGTGTGGCAGGCGCGCAGTCGGATCTCAAACTCACGCCGCACAGCAGGCGTGTCCTCCTCCCTGGACTCCACCAGCAGCCTTGAGGCCAGGTATCCCACAACCGCATCGAATGGTAGCAAAGATGCCGCCCAGACACGCTTTCGGTGTCAACGAAAGCTAGCCTTGCAGCAGTAACTGGTCCGACATTTTTGAATTTCGCGAAGTCGTTGCCTACGATAATGGCGAACAAGAGAAGGCGGCGGCGGGCGGTCGGTTCCGGTAGAGGCGTGTAGTCTAAGCCCTCGTCAACTGGCTGGTGTATCCCGTGCAGCTGGCGCAGCCAACCATGAGCATCCCCGCTCCGGAGGAAGGACCATGCGGTGGGTTGGAAGAGCAGCCTCTGCCGGACGCATCTTCCGACATGCTCTCCTCTCGCGTTCTTGACCACTTCCACCAAAAGATCCCGTACCCCAAGAACTGTTAAGTCGGAGTCATTGGCATACACGTACACGTTCGCCCCTGTTGCGAGATGGATGTCCTGGAAAACTACAAGCTGTGGATCCGCTTCGCCTGGGGCGATGTAAACCTCCCCCCTGATACGGGCTCTCAAGCGCGTTGCGATCTCAGCGGTAACTCGACCGTCGAAAGCACAAGCAGCGCTGGCCAACTTGTTGATCTCCACGGGACAGCCACCGGCGTCGTGTAGAGCGCGCGCCTGTTGTGCACTCTTCTGCCTCCTTTCTCGTCGGTGTTGAGATGTCCCACTCTTGGCCGGAGGCGGCCGACCGTCGAACACTACCGTCACTAGGAAATTGCGATCTTCAAAAAGCTTCATATCTCGGGCACACTCCTCTACTTGACGGGAGACGTCGTTGTTGAGAAGTAAATTTGCCGCCGCTACCCCCCTCAAACACATGCGGTGATTTAGGAACCCGCCGTCGACGATGACATGATGTTTGCCTTGTCCGTTTTCAATATCAATCCTGACCGAAGCCACGCTTTTAGACAAGCGGGAGAGCGAATTGAATCCCATCCCAACTGAAGGAAAGAGGGCGTGGGAGTGACAGAGAGGAGTGGGAGATGGGAGAGAGGTCCCCAAAAAGGACCAAGTTCGAGCATGCGATTGGACCGGTCTCTGTGTTGCAAAAGGCAAAAAAAAATTCAACGGCGGGCTGTTCGGGGCCGCTTTTGGAGACCGGAGTAGGATGTAGGATGGTCGCTTCGGCCCGTGTGGCGAGTGGAGGATGGTGCCGCAGCAGAGGATTGGCCAGCTGCCACAGCGTGCTTGTCAGGCTCCCCCGAGACTATCGAGGGTGTGGATGCCACGCACCTCATGTCGTACGTCATGTACTGACTGGCGGCAAGGGCGCGGCAGCACCCCCTATTTTAAAGCAGCTGCTCCACTGCTGCAATATTATTCGAAGCATTGATCATGTCTTCTACACGCACGAGTCGAAAGTCGTGTGTTAGGAGAGACAGGTCAACAACTTCGGTGGCTCGCAACTTGGATGTAAGCCACCTCGTCACAAGCGTAGACAGAGACAAGTGCCTGACGCTGAATCGCCACTGGTGCGAGTGTGCGCAGTTCTCCTTACTACACTCTGGTTTACCATGTGCAGATAGATGTTGCGCGTCGTTTGTTGCCTGCTGTCATACCAACGACTGCTGTCATACCAACGAGGGCAGATATGATACTTAAAACAGAACAACACAATCAACGACGCCGAGGGTCGTTTGGCACCTGACATTAGAACGATCTACACTCGTTGTATCGGGTGCCCACGTACCCACACAAGAAATGAAACCACGACAACCCACCACTACCAGTACCACGAAGAAAGCTGACCTGCCCTGTCCTGTGTTTTCATAGACGAGAGGATACACAAACGGCATACATAAATCGTCCCCCGACTCCTAAACGCCCCCCCCCCCCCCCTCTGCCAATGGCGACCCCTTCTTCTTTCTTTCTTGTAGTCTA